GGAATACTAAACAGCAGAGAAGTCAACAGAGGGTTCTTTTTATAGTATGTTGCTGGGCTCTGTGTTTTTCTGTCTCCTTCTTTCTCGTGCTCTCTCTCTCTCTCTCTCTCTCTCTCTCTCTCTCTCTTTTTACAGTAAAATCACAGCACGCTAAAGAATACACATTTATAGCACAATGCTTTTCATCTAATTATATGGCAATCATTAGTTTTAAGCTGGATGCATTATATTTTCTTTGATATATTATGCCTAAGGCATAACTCTGCATTTATTGCTGCTACTGGCAGATTTTAGTCCCCTACCCCCCTTCTAAGCCCTAACTCTACCCACCACCCCTTAACAAATTGTTTAACCCCTACTGTTAGTTTGCTTATTGTCTTAAAAGGGAAAAAATACAATTTAAATTGGCAAAAGGAGAAAAACAATACACCCTTGGTTAATTTAAAGAAAATAAAGAAAGGAAATCGTGTGTATTCTGGGGAGCTGTGTGTTGTGTTTACTCACCAGGCAGTGTCCTGAATACACAATTTCTCTCCCCACCCCAGTAAAATTCCTTTGCTACAAACCCTACCAGATCACGCTGAATTCCCACTTGGCTGAGTTTCATTGTCCCTCAGGGGAAAAAAGATATTTATATGTATATAAATATATATCTGTAAAGCAACCCAGGGGTGCAAAGCCACAAGATGGGGGGACATTCCTTCACAAATACCTGTCTACAGATGTTGCCAGCATTCTTCTCCATCAGCTTTTCTGGGTCTTTCTCACATTCACCCTTGCCTATGGTTGAAGGGAAGCAAGGTTGAGATGCCCTAGATTCTCAGATCTGAAGTCCGGAAGGGAAGAAAAGGCCAAGTTCTACAGAGATGGATGGCCTGATGTTGACTCATCTGGGGTCTTCTCGGCCAGGCTTAAAAATACAAGACTGCTGGTCTCCGAAAGATAGAGCTACTTGTGTGTGAAGTAGCAGAGCCTGCACATGCCTGCAATCATAGCACTTGGGAGGTGGACGTAGGATCAGGAGTTCAAGGTCATACTTGACTACATAAATAGTGTGAGGCCAGCCTGGGCTACCTGAGACCCTGTCTCAAACAACAACAAAAACATCAACAACAAACAAAACTATCAGAGTAGAGCCATGTTTCTTCTGTGGTCTTCCTTTTTATCTGTACACTGAACTTCACATCTGGGAGCTAAAGGGATTAGAGACCACCTTCATTCTTTGTTTTAGAGCTGGAGGACCTTGACAGAGACACTGGGAACATTGTTTTCTATTATACAGTCATCTGCAGTTACAGCTGGACTCTCAGCTCCTGACTCCCAGGCCAGCATCCACTTCAGATAGAGTAGCTCCAAGCAACAATTCCTTTACAAGTATGACCAAGGGCAAAGGAATAAAGGACAGTTATCTTTCTGAGAGCTGGAAGTCAGTGAATCTACCTCTCTTGGTGCTGATGGGTCCTCTCTACAATGTCCTCCCCTATGAGCATGTTTGTTCTGGGCTCTGGGTCCCTTCCCATGGTGGTCAAATCAATATTGTATATATCTATTGTCTGGAAGGTGTTCAAGGGCGGTGAATGCTGGAGTCAGCACTTTTGACTTCAAATCTTGCACAGCCACCTGCTACTTAGCAGTCTTTGGATAAGTGTCAATGTTTTGTTTTGTTTTACTTCTGTTTTCTCCTTGCCTGTACACTGGTAATAATTGAATGCCTGCCTTATAGGGTTTTGTGAGGAGGATTATACGTGTTAGTCCCAGTCTGCCAGTGTGGTAGCATCCACATACTTCCGCATTCCGCCATCTTAGCTCGATCCTGTTCCAGCTGTCTCTTCCTGGTTACAGATGACACGCCAGCTTGGCCAATCTAAGGGGACTAGTATGCTTGCCTTCCTTATAAGGTGACGGTTGGCAGCCAGTAAATCCTCCAATAGGGGATAGATTTCTCTCCCCTGCCTGAAATATAAGGTGACGGTTGGCAGCCAGTAAATCCTCCAATAGGGGATAGATTTCTCTCCCCTGCCTGAAATATAAGGTGACGGTTGGCAGCCAGTAAATCCTCCAATAGGGGATAGATTTCTCTCCCCTGCCTGAAATATAAGGTGACGGTTGGCAGCCAGTAAATCCTCCAATAGGGGATAGATTTCTCTCCCCTGCCTGAAATATAAGGTGACGGTTGGCAGCCAGTAAATCCTCCAATAGGGGATAGATTTCTCTCCCCTGCCTGAAATATATATAAGCTTGCTCCCGAGGTGGATCGGGGCTCGCCGTCCACGACATCGCTGTAACTCAACTTGATTCCTGCAATAAAGATTGCTGACGAGAAGGAACCGGAGGTTGTGTCTTCCTTGCTGGCCAGGGTGGGCGCAACAAAGCACAATATCAAGCACATTCTGTCTGGGTAGAGATTTAAAGATAGCTACATCAGTGCTTATAAACGGGACATGGATTGCAGAAGCTCTTTCATTACTTTCTGTGTATATGACTTTTAAGGTGCTATTCTAAAGCTTCCCAAGTCATAGGCATTTCATTAATATGTAGTGACATATTAATAACATATTCAAGATGTTTTCTTTAACTGTGATTAAATTAATATGTAAAATTATGTTATATATTATATAAGCTGACTTACACATCTAAGAATTCCATATCAAAGATTTAATCAAAAAGCAAAATGTGTCACAGTTAACAGCAAATGTGAATTAGTGTCAAGCTCTTCCTTTCGGCTGAGCACTATCCCCGTGAAATGAACTGAAAGAACTAGCTGAGTTTGGTGACATAGGCCTGTAAGTCAAGGTACTTGGGAGGCTGATGAGGAAGATCGAAAATTCAAGGTCTGCCTGGGCTACAGAGTGAGTTCAAGTCTAGTCTTGGCAATTTAGCAAGACCCTGTCTCAACATGAAAAGTACTAAGGGCTCCATGGGGGATGGGGAAATGGTTCAGTGAGTAAAAGTGCTTGCTGTGAAAGTCTGACAATATGGGTTTGGATCCCCAGAACCCATGTACAAGCTGGATGAAGTGGTGTGTGTCTGTAATCCCAGCACTCCTATGACAGGATGGGAGGCCGAGATAGGAGAATCCTCTGGAAATTCACAGGCCAGCTTGTGTGGAGTACATAGTACAATAGCCAACAATGGAGATCCTGCCTCAAGAACAAGGTGGATGGTAAGGATGACAACCCGAGTTTATCCTCTGACTTCTACATGTATGCCATGACATGGATGTATCCTCACACAGAAACATGTACAAACATCACACATACACACACACACACACACACACACACACACACACTAAATATTTATAAAAGATGGCTGGGGTTATGGTTCAATGATAGAGCACTTGCTGAGCATGTGCAAGGCCCCGGGTTTAAGCTCTAGTATTGCACACACACACACACACACACACACACACACACACACACACACAAATCAAAACCAACAAAACCAAAACCAAAACTAAAACTTGTCTTTCCAATAAGTATTTTAGCTGTGGTTCTACCTTTGGCCCCGCAGACTGAGATTAATTTCCCTCCTGCCTGGCTGCTGCCAAATGCATCTCACTCATACCCAGAGCTTTTATCAGGTGACCCCTGTCTGTCACAGACACACGGTCTCTGCTCTCAAAGAGTTCACACCCAGGGAAAGATAGGATTCGTCTTCAGGCCTGGCTTCTCCAGGAGGAATGCTTCTCAGAGCCTTGGCCTGTTGCTCCCTTGGCATGATGTCTCACATTTCCTGCCCATTTTGCTTATGGAAAATCATGTAATGAAATATATCAAGGATGAAGGAAAAGTGACAGTAAATTTGAGTTTCTTTTCTCCAACTGTATTCAATACTTGAGGCTCCTGGAACTGGGATGCTCCTGGGTTAGCAGGGCCCAGGTAAGTCTAAAGCTCTCTCTCCCTCTTCTCTCCCTCTCTCCCCTGCGTAAACTAAGCAGAATGCCTTGGTATCTGTTCCTTTCTCTGGGATATACTGTTCTCTGCTTTTTACCATGCTGTCTCAAACCCAGGCCCAATGCTGAGCTGTCACTGTATATGCTAGCAGCTAGCTAATGATGGGTTTGGGCCAGCACTGAGCTAGCCAATAGCCCCCCGGTCACTGCATTGGTCACAACCCAAACCCAGGTACCAGGACCAGTGCATTCCCTTGACCTTAAAGGGATTGATGTCCTAATGACTTCATCTTTGAAACTGGTGTGAGATCTGATGGGACAGTGAAATACACACTGGGGATTTGGAGTCTTACTGACTGATGGTCCCACTCTCACCTTGTGACATGATCTCAGAAGGTCCCTGGGGGCAGGTGCGGAATGAGGATCAGGGACCGTGTCTTGGGATAGGACAAACGGTGATCATCCCTGTCCCTAGCTGGTACCTCTTTCCCACCTTTGATCTGGATACCAATCAACTCTTGGTATGGCGGTCATAATCCTTGGGACTGACCCTGGCCATGAGGCTACATAGACGGGCCAATGGGAAGAGCTGATTGACTTCTCTCATTATAGGCAGGCCCAGGTTCCATGTTGCCAAGGAAGGACCAAGTCCTTCAAGTCATGTTGTTGGCCCTGGCAGGGATCTTGTTGAATGTTCTCTCTTCGTTACCTTCCCCACTAGTAGTCATTAAGCTCTCAGATCTTTCTTAGGAACGTCTCCTCTTAGAGACTGTGCTGGACAGCTTTAGTTGTCAACTTGACACACCTGGGTAAAGGGAGCCTCGGTTGGGGAATGGCCTCCATTGGACTGGCCCATGGCCATGTCTGTGGGGGCATTTTTATTGAGTTTGAGTGTTGTGGGAGGCCCCAGCCCACTGTGGGTGGTACCACCCCAGGCAGGTTGTCCTGTATTGTATAAGAAAGCAGGTTGAGCAGGGTCCAGGGGAGCAAGTCAGTAAGCAGTGTTCTTCCATGGCCTGTGTTTCAGCTGCTGCCTCCAGGTTCCTGCCCTGAATTCTGACCTTGGGCTCCCTGATGAACCATGACCCAGGAGATGTGAGCCAAATAAACCCTATCCTCCCCAAGCTGGTATTGGTTGGAGTGTTTCGTCACAGCAATTGAAGGCAGACTAGAACAGAGACAAATGAGGTTATACACGAGCCCCGTTCAGGACAGCTGGGACCACCTTCCCATAGGCTCCGGTTTCTGCTCTCTCCTCTCCCGTGGCTGCTGCTGCCAAAGAAGAAGGATTTCACCTGGGCACTCTCCTATTAAATTCTCTTCCACAAGCTTCTCTGACGATTCTAGGATAGCATACCAACGTGAGTAGATGCATACGCCTACGGCCTTTCAGATATTGACTGTACACTCTGGATGAGCGTCCTCTATGGCCCATTGATTGCTATGGCTTTGAAGACTTTTCACTCTTTTCTAGAACTTGAAGATACAGCAACATTTTATTTATTTTGTTATCTTCTAGCTCAACATGACCGTGGCATGGACTAGGTCCCGGATACAAGTTTGGTAAATTGTGCAATCATGATTCTCCACATTTGGGCCCCCAAGGAAGAAATGTATCGTAGTGGAATCATGGGTGGTACAGATGCTGTTTTGGAAGGAGAGCTCTTGCTTCACACTAGCAAATCTAGGCACCAGCTCCTTGACCTGCTTGGATGGTCCCTGCTCCCTTGTCAAGCCCTTGCCTCATTCCTCACCCTCATGCTGCATCTCTGGCCAGGCCTGCTGCAGTGAGGCCTTCAGGTAACCAGGACGTGGTAGAAAGGATGTGCTTTTAAGGGTCAGGCACACCTGAGTATATGGTATGTGTGACTTTGAAGTGAAGCCCTTGCATTGGGAATGAGACCCAAACAAGAAAGAAAGAAGAAACTAGAAAGAAGGAGGAAAAAGGTGGCAAGAGGTACCCATCTGTCTTAGTTACCAGTTACCTCTATTGCTGTGCTAAAAGCACTGACCAAAACCAATTTGGGAAGGAAAGGGTTTATTTGGCTTACAGCACAGTCCATCATCAAGGGAAGTCGAGGCAGGTACCTGGAGGCAGGAGCTGAAGCACACACAGGGAAAGACGCTGCCTACTGGCTGGTTCCCCTGACCCAAGCTCAGCCTGCTTTCTTATACAATACAGGCCCACCTGCCCAGGGGTGGCACCACCCACAGTGGCTGGGCCCTCCCACAGCACTCAACAATCAAGGAAATGCCCTACAGACATGGCCAGAGGCCGGTCCAATGGAGGCAAGTCCCAAGTTGAGGCTCCCTCAACCTAGGTGTGTCCAATCGACAACTAAAGGTATCCAGCACAACACCATGTTGGTTAGCATTCTTGCCTTCACGGAGCTTGTGGTCTCTAGTGATTTACCTAACTGTATGAGCACAGGTCTTTTCATTTACAAATGAAGCCTGGAATGCCTATTCTACAGGGTTACTGCAGAGATTGAAATAACACACATAAAGCATTTGATACGGAGTAAATATTCCATAAAGTTTCCAAATGAACATTGCTCTGTGTCCCAAGGGGTGCAGGAAGAAACTGTCCCTTTAGGGACAGAAATATATGCTCACCTGTCTTTTAGGATGTGTCTTGATGCATATGATGCCTGTACCTGGTCTTGATGGTAACCAAGACTGGAGCAGGTGTGGGTAAGCATGGAGGGCACCCCAGAGCTCCTAGTGCAGAAGAAGCCTGCCTGGGGAATGCGCCATGCAGGATTAAGATGCTCCTTTGTTATCCAACACTTTATGTCCCAGGGTGTCATCTTTCTCCTGGGTGCGGGCTTCTCCATCCTAGTTCAGAGATGCCTAGGCCATCCTGTTCCCTCCAGGTTAGGTCACAGTACAAGCTTTGTAAGAGGCCAAACTGGGTTTGACTGATTGCCTCTGCAGTCAGATTGTTCTGTAACCTCCACATGCCTCGGTTTCTTGTGTGAAAAAGTAAAGACAATTAGTACCACCCTCCTTATCTTATTGAGGGTGTGGAGAGTGTACCACACAAGTGTGAGGGTGTGGCATATGAGTTTCCTGCTCCTCTATAAGTCCCACTAAGGGTACTGTGGCCTTAACGAATTATCTCCCATTCCCTTTGTAAACCAGGCTGACCTCGATCTCACAGAAATCTACCTGCCTCTGCCTCCCAAGTGCTGGGATTAAAGACATGCATCATGCCAAGCTAATCCTCATATTTTAAAAGAGGGTGCTGGGCTGTTTTACAGAGTGCAATAGATCGACTGAGGCAAAACTTCAGGGGAAAGCACTGGGGTGGAGACAGGAGATATTTTGGGGGCAGGAAGTGGCCTTCCTTTACTTCTGAAATCACACCACTTAGACTAGCAGTTCTCAGCCTCAAAGCTGTGACACGCTGGTGTGGGACCAGCAGTTGTGAGATGTATCACAGACAAATACGTTACTAATAATAAAGTGTTGCAGTTTTCGAATAATTCCCCCCTATTTTTTTCTTTTGTGTAAATTAGAGGGAATTCAAGGTTATCCCAATCATGGCTTCAGACCTGCTGTCATTCTCACGTGAAGAAGAGGGAGCACCTGGGAATTGGGCCTGGCTCCATAGGCATATGTTTATTTGGTCATGGGATCACGGATGTCCTGGAGGTCCTGATCACAAGCCCCTGACTGAGAGACAGACGATTCCAGACACCAAAGTTTTTTGAGAAGCTGATACATGCTAGGTCCACCTCACAGAGCTGAGGAAGTGACTAACTGCTTTCTGCATCTCCACAAACAACATAAAACAGCACCTGCCACATGATGCCAATCAAATGGTGCTGAAGAACATGCCCCACTGGTGGTGATAGGAGTCCGAGTGATGTCCCCAAAGTGGAGGAAGTGGTTGAAGAGGAGGCGTCTGGGGATCTCTTTGGGTATTAAAGATAGCCTATGGTTTGAGCATGGTGGTGGCTCCATGGCTAACATATCATGAAGGTGTTCAGTTAAGATCTGCATCCTTGTCATATGTGTTTGTAACTTGACAGGAAAAATGTCTGTATACCTCCTAGTCAAACACCTAGAAGGGGCTTTCCTCAGCACCTGCTGGGGTTCCCCAAATGCTCTGAGGTCTCTGGAGAGGGCAGTGGGATAATGACATTAACTCAGGAGCCCTGGGGTCCCCAGCAGGTCCTCCTTCCCCTGCAGAGTTTGTCCACCCATGGGGCTGCATTACACTGCTTCTGCCTGTTCCACTCAGTGGCTCCTCGAGTACTCTGAGCTATCTGCCCCCTGGGAGATGACTGACTTTTGGGGGCTGATATCTCAGCCTCATTAGCACTAGCACTTGTACAGATGGGACCCTCATCAGAGATCTAATTTCTGGTGACACAGCTCTGTAGCACAGTAGGAGCATGTATGAGGCCACGGTGTGTTGGGAACTGTTCTTTGCCTGGGGTTGGGGTACTCACAGAACAGACCCAGTGAGAGGGGCTATACATATACAACCCCCTTGAAATCTGAGGCCCCAGGATGCTGAGGTGGCTGTTCCTAAGCCACACATTTGGAGCTTTTTTTATTTGCTTTGTGTGTTACTTTTCAACCCACCCCTTCAGTTGCCAAGGTAACAGTGACGCATCCCTGGGTGGGGCCTAAACTGGTCAATACCGTCTTCTGAGGCCACTGCTGAAGAGGCAGGCCTGGGGGCAGGTGCTATAGCTGAGGGGGAAGAATTAGAGCAGAATAGGGTAGGAAGTGTGGGGTGGCTGGCTGCTTGGCTTATTGTAGGTCCCAGTCAGGATGGAGCATGCCACTCAGAGCCCCAGGAGACCCACCCTTAACCACACCACCAGCAGATACAAGGCAAATGGTTCTACAGGGCAGTGGGAACAGCCCATCCACCTCAGTGTTTGTGAGGCATGCGATGGGTGGTCTCTCGGGCTTTACCAGGCTCAAAGTCCCTGCAGGTCACAGTGGAGTTCAGAGCCAGGGAGAATGGATTTCTTGGCATGGGGTATTGTTATGGATAACGGGAGAAAGAGCATGGACTGGACACTAAGACTCAGGCAGATCCTTCTCTGTGAGAAGCGCTCTCTATATCCTGCAAAGATGAACTTCCTGGCTTCCCATTCTTACCTCACCAAATGCAATGACACCAGGATCCTTGGGCCCCCCAGCTTAGTTTTCTTGGTGTGCCATTAAACCGTCCTCAACCCCATCCCCAGAGGCCCAGCCTTACTTCTTCACTCTAATCACCCAGGCCAGAAAATTGGTCTGGTCCTCAGGGGTTTATTCTGGGACCTATCTTGGAGACATCATCACACTCCATTCTTTTTTAGAGCTCTGGCTTGAGTAAGGGATATTCTGAGATCTGTCTTTGGCCTTAGGCTGCTCCCCAACCTGGTAGGTTGACAAAGAGCCTGTGCATGGACACCCTGGACTCTTTCTGAGAGCCACTCCTCTGGGCTACATGAATGTCTTTCATGGTCTTGTGAGCAGCCGGAACATCATACTTTGACATTACATCTATCTTCTCCCTCTCATAGAACCTTCCACCGCCCGCACCCCCCCCCCCCCAATCTCCTGCCTATACTCTGTCATTTTCTCTATCACCCAGTCTCAAAACCTGGGAGTTATTTTTGATTCATCTATCTCCTTTATTGTCTTTATCTAGTCGCATATCAAATTCTGTCAGCTCTTCCATCAAAATGTCTCTAGCATATGTCCCTTCCTTTCTTAAAAACAAATCTCATTGTTTTTCTTTGTATAAAAGAGAAATATGTTCAGTGTAGAGTATTTAGAAAATACAGCAGCCATAACCAAAGGGGAAAGAAATTGCCCCCAGTTCTTCCTGACATAGCTAACTATTTCCAGTCTTTGGCTAGATGCCAAGTCTCCTGTCCCTGCTTATGTGTCTGCACCCTTCACCCTTCTCTTTCTTCCCATTGTTCCCCATTCCTGCCCCCACCCTTCATTCCAGGTCTCACACTCTCTCCTCGTATCCTCTCACCCCACTCTGCTTTGATTAGTCTAACCTCCTGAAATACTGTCTTCAATACTTCGGTTTCCAACATGCCCAATCGAGGGCACTTGAGCGCCCACAGGAAACAGGTGCCCCACCCCGGGAAGAAGTTCACAACTTGGTATGGCCAGTGCCTTTGTGGGAATCAGAAGAAGACTTGCCTTCTTCAGGGTGGAGGAAACTCAGGCAATGTGTGTGACTGTGTTCCCCAAAGTTCATGTATTGAAAACTCAGTGCCGGGGCTGGAGGGATAGCTCAGCAGTTAAGAGATAGCTCAGCAGTTAAGAGATAGCTCAGCAGTTAAGAGATAGCTCAGCAGTTAAGAGATAGCTCAGCACTGGCTGCTCTTCCAGAGGACCTGGGAGTTTTGTTCCCAGCACCCACATGGCACCTAACAATCATCCAAAACTCCAGTTCCAGGGGATCTGATACCTTCTCCCCCCCCTAAAGAAAACTTAATCTTTACATGAAAATTCTGATGGTATTTGGAGGTGACTCCCCTTGAGAGGTGATTGGGGTTAGACGAGGCCATGGGCCAGATGGCATTAACGGCTTTATAAGAAGGTGAAGGGAGACTCAGGCTTGCATGCTTGCTGTTTCCCACTGAGTGAGTGCTGCTCTGATGCTGAACACCTGCCAGGGCCATAGAGCCTGTCTGTACAAGAACCTTGTCTATACAAGCCTCTCTTATTTCCTCTCTTTTGTGTGTAGTATATGTGTGTGCTCATGTTCGTATGTGCATTTGCATGGGTGTTTATGTGTGT